ATATTTTACAGACTTTGCTTTTGGAAATATCTGTGAGTCTGAACCTTCTTACTGAACCCACTTCAGTAAGAAGTCCAGGACATAGTCATGTAAAATCATCTGGCATTGGACACAATTCTTGCTTCTCCAAGGAGCTGCTGTGATTTGGATGTAGTTTGTCCCTGCCAAAATTCATGTGGAAATTTGGTTGCAAAGGTGGCAGTGTTGGGAAGTGGATATTTTAAGAGGGATTAGTATCTTTCTCATGAAACTGGATTTGTATTCATGGGAATAAATTAATTTGTGTGAGAGTAGGTTGTTATAAACTGGATTAGCTCTTTGTCCCCCTCTTCTGCTCTTGAATGCTTCCCCTTCCAATTTTCCACAATATATGAAGCAGCATGTGGTCCTCACCAGAAGCTGAGCAGGTGCTAGCACCATGCTTTGGGACTTCCAGGACCATGAGCCAAAATAAGCCTCTTTATAAATTTATAAATTACAGAAATTTCCGGTGCTCTGTTATAGCAATAAAAAATGGACTATGACAGAGACACATGTGCAGTCATCAAAACTGACTACTGTCTATGGGTTATCCAAAACCTCTATGTCTATACTGTCACCAAAATATTCAGACTGCAGATGGGGAAACTTGTCAGTTGCCAGTGTCATTCTCACTCCACCATCTGAAGATGCTTCAGATCCAACAACTAGAAATCTTGACTGGCTTGCCCTAGAACTTAACATCTTTCTCTACCCCAAGAAAACTATGGTGCATTTCTTACTAGAGGCTGGTGTGCTAAAAGTCTAGTTCTCAGGGGTTTATGTTTTATGCACCCTGTGTAGTGAGCATACATATCGTTGTACTGAGTTCCAACCATCTACTCACTTCTGTCATCATATCACTATTCACTGAGTCTCCCATTTCTGTCAGATGCTTCTGCTACTTTTCCCTACATGCCACCACACAAGCTGTGATATATGCTTCCCTAAATGATCCTAGAATAGGAGAAAATTGTAACCATAAATATGTTCAGTGCTGCCAGTCTGTATCATTATCATATAGTATATTTAGGAAACACTAAATTTATATATACAGATGTGTGTGTATGTGTGTGTGTGTAACAATTTGGACAGTAAAAATGAATATAAAGTTTGTTCATATCTTAGGAAGAAAGAGTTATTTGTTATTCAGCACTTAATTGCACCTCAACCAGGGAGCCAACATCAGTTCCCAAATCTGGCTGTGCAATGTTCCATTATTTCAGCACTCTACATAAAAACTCGAGAAGATTGTTAATAAAGTAGATGGGATAGGGTGAAGGAAGGGGAATTTCTAACAATCAGATGATAATCCGACATGAATCTCAGAAAAATATTCAGTGAACCAGGTCTATACATGTTCCCATTGACAAATCTGGTGCATAATTGTGTCTACTTACAATTTTCCTACCCAGGGAGCAAAAGCAAGCTATCATTATCAATTTCCCTAGTTCTTTAGAAATATACATTAAGGAAATTATAAATCCATTGGATAACTTTCCCTCTAGTGCCAAAATATCACATACACAGGATACTCTTTGTGTGTGTGTGTGTGTGTGTTTTGTTTGTTTTGGTACCAGGGATTTAACTCATGGGCACTAGACCACTGAGCCACATCCCCAGCCCTATTTTGTATTTTATTTAGAGATAGGGTCTCACTGAGTTGCTTAGCACCTCACTTTTTGCTGAGGCTGACTTTGAACTCATGATTCTCCTGCCTCAGCCTCTCAAGCTCCTGAGATTACAGGCCTGCACCGCTGCATCTAGCTCCTGCTATGTTATATTGTTCTAGTGTTTAAAGAGATGCCATTGGGATGAAGTTTTTATCTCAGTGTCTCAGTGATACAGCATGTGCTTAATATGTGTGACACCTTGGGTTCAACCCCCAAAACCAAGAAGAAAAGGGAGTGATCATTTAAAATGTCTCAAGAGCAAGAAGTTCCTTTGTGGATCTGGAGAAGGCTTTTTTTTGACTTCTGGTTAGAAGGTAGGTCCTGAAAAACCACTAATTGCACTGTAACAAACTGCAAAAATATCAGATGATAGAAATGTCATTTTTATACATTTTTTAGTTGTAAGTGGACACAATACCTTTATTTTATTTTTATGTGATGCTGAGGATTGAACCCGGTACCTCGTGCATGCTAGGTGAGTACTCTACTACTGAGTGACAACTCCAGCCCCAATGTCATATATTTTTGAAGGACATCTGAGAGTTGTATATTTAATGAATTCTAAAGTAACTACATTCCAGAGAGATAGAAAGAAAGAGACAAGCACATACCAATGGCCATTTTCCTCCCTGGCAACATGGGCTTGGAAAACAGAAGATTGGCCCAGCCATTGGTGGAAAAATTGCTGGGATAAGAACTGTTAATGATTGTGTGGCCTGAGTAGACAGATTAGAATCTGTAGGAATTCCAAATGCATAGTTAATTCTCCCCATCTATGTATCCTCCTAATGGGTTTATTTTATGAGTGCAAAAGGACAGAGAATATGGCTGAGACTGAGGGAGGTGAGAGGAGGAAAGGGAGGGAGGTGAGACAGAAATTGATTCACTGTGCTGTTTAGACCCCAAAGTCCTGCCTGAATTTAGCATCTAAAGGCAGCAACTTATAATATACATAGGACAGATTCCAACTTCAAGGCTCTTGGAGTCTGATGCTAAATGATCTAAATTCAAGTCATGCTGCAGCTCAAATCCTGATTGGATTGAATTTATATATCTCAGGTAAATGAGTGCTTGACCATGGAAAGGATGTACCCTCATGGTGTGTGTGTGTGTGTGTGTGTGTGTATTTTTTTTCCCAGTGTAGTTCTTTTAAATACAATGCCTGGCATACAGTACAAATCCAAAAACATGTGATGTAATGGGACAATGTTACCCATGATGATAGTAATAAGAATTCATTGCACCTGAAATTATATTTTCCAAAGCAGTCCCTAAAGCAGTCTAGACTCCTGAATTGGGGAAACAGACTCCATCTTGTAATGGAAATAGTTTTGAAGTCATAATATAAAGGGTGTTGATACGGGGAAAGTGGAGATCAGGGACATTAAAAAATCAATCTAACACAGGAATTCATGTGCAAATTCTTCACCTCCACTGTGCCTGGAACATCAGATGTATTTTGCCTCTGCCGCAGCTACCCCACTGTTCATGTTTGTGGTCATGGAAGGTCGGTACTCAGGGTTGTACTGGGGCTCAGTCTTGGGGAACTCTCAAGGCTGCTACCAGATGGACAGCCAGTCCCAGACATGACAGAGATTGGCTGAATTTTCCCAAAGGCCATTCTTGACCGACATCTGCAGAAAAAGACCTACTATGTCTCACTTCAGCCAATCCTTCATTTTTGGGGGGTAAAGCAGTTCCAGTGTTTCTCGTCACATCACTTTTTTCTTCAGAGCTCAGACTTAGAACCACTGGTTTCCTGCTCACTTTGATTCTGCAGATGTTGTGGTTGCCCCAGGGAAAAGCTGCCTTCAAAAGTGGCTGCAACAACCAACTTTCAATATCCTCACCATTGTTGGCCTCATCACCCTTTTCTTTTTCTGGGTCCTTATGGTCATTTACTATGCCCACTGGAAGGTAAAGTTCCATGACAACCATGCAAGAAGGGTGTTCTTATTGCATATTTATAGAGGAGGGGCAGAGATCTTCAGTGATTTGTGTAAAACCACTACTTAGCTACAAAGTGAACACAGCTTTCAGGGCTGGGGGTGCAGTTCAGTGATAGAGTGCTTAGACCCTAGGTTTGATCCCTAGCACTGTCAAAAAGAAAAAGAAAAAAGTAAAGTGAAGCCATGACATGAAACTCATCATTTTTTATTGCAATGGCTTCCTAGGTGATGAAGGCTGGCTTTGCAGCATAAGGAGCTGCGACGAGGCTCTTGAGTCAGGGAGAATTAGCCTCTGCCTGTTGTAGAGAGCCTTAGAATAATGTGGTGGACTTGTAAATACAGAGTGACACTGGGGACCCAGTCTGGAGTCCCAACACTTAGCTGTCCACTACCTCTAAGCTTCCAGCCCCAGCCCCCCACCATGAGCTTTCTGTTTTCCAGCTACCCCTCCCCCCTTCTCCCTGCACTTCCACTAGGCCATCTTGTTGGTGGAGGGCCAATGGATGTGCCTGTTGATCCTGGAGGCTCCAGGCCTTGCCACGTCAAGCTCTTACCACTGCAGATCCTGTCACCACTGGCAATACTGACATCTCAGTCTGTCCAGCCATTTGTCCTACACAGGGGCACTGAGATCTTTCTCCCTCATCTACCTGGAGCTTCTGGGAGAAGTGAGAATCTCACTAGGGTCTGGGAGACCACCTCATCCCTCTCTCCTCCTGCCAGCCGACTGCGCAGCCCCAGGAGGTCGACTGAGGTGTTCTTGGACCTCCTGCTGCAGGACTTTGAGGCGACCTCCAGAAACAGCTCTGCAACCTGAAGGCGGCATTTCCCTGGGGGCATCCACAACATCAGCAGAATTGAAGTGAGCAGGCAGCCAGGGGCTTTGCTCGGAAGGGACCCCACAGTGACCGCGAATACCCTGGGAAGAGGCTAGATTGCCCCGGTAGGGAGATGCAGGAAGGGGACATAATAGGACGAATGCAGAGACCGGAGGTGGTGCAGCCTCCCGGCTGCAGGAGTCTGATAAGGGAGAGCTCCTGGCTGAAGCTTTGGGGCCAGCTCTGGCTGCAGAGATGGAGGTGACAGTGGGAGAGGAAGAGGCTCCGGCTGTGTGTGGGGAGGGGTCTCTTGGCTCGGGATAAGGGAGTCGCGAGAGGGTGTTGCCAGGTAGCAGGGATCAAGGATCCAGGATCGGAAACTCTAGATCCCGCGCTGGGAAAGAGGAGCGGAGAGCTCCTAGCTGCAGGGTTGCAGATGGTAATGGGAGGGGCTTCTGCTGTTAAGGTCGGATCAGCGGATGTCAGCCCAGGTGGAAGGGGTTCTCACTACAGACATGAGACGTATAGTCAGGGACTCAGTCGCTGCATTGCAGGACCAGAATGGGGAATTCTGGCTGCGACACAGGGAAGGAAAGATGCTTTAGGCTATTGCTGGGGAGGGTGGTGGCAGGTCTCCAGTTGTCCCTGGGGTAGGGCTGTCTGGCACCCACATCCTTTTCTCCCCTTTCTCCTCACAGGCTGCAGCAGAGACTTCCACCCTCAGCTCACACCCTGTCGGATCATGCTCCCTCCCACCAGGTCCCCTGCTATGGCGCTGGCGATGCTGCAGGACTGGTGTCAGTGGATGGGCGTGAATGCACAATGCTCACTGCTCATCCTGGGCATCCCTGATGACTGCGAGGAAGATGAATTCCAGGAGGCTGTGCAGGCTGCCCTCTGGCCCCTGGGCAGGTACCGAGTGCTGGGCAAGGTCTTGAGGAAGGAGCTTGGGTCCAGGGTAGCCTTGATTGAATTCCGTGACACTTTAAACAGAAGTTTGATCCCCCGACAAATGCCAGGCAAGGGAGGACCCTGGACTGTGGTCTTCCTGCCCCCAGATTCTGATGCTGAATTACAAGAGAGACCCAATTTCACTGCACAGTCTCAGGGGCAAGAAGTGGCAGCAGCTGCAGGTGAGGTAGGAGCTTCAGGTGACAGAGTTGCTGCAAGTGAGGGAGGAGCTGTAGTTGAGGCAGAAGTACGTGAAATAGGAGTTGCAGATGAGGCAAGAGCATCAGATGAGGAGGGAGCTGCTGGTGACATGGGAGTTGCAGGTGTTCTAGGAGCTTTGGGTCTGGTAGGAGCTGCAGGTGAGGCAGGAGCTGCAGGTGACGGAGGAGTTGCAGGTGAGGCAGGAGATGCAGATGAGGCAGCAGCTGAGGCAGAGGCAGCAGGTGAAGTAAGAGCTGTGCATGAGGCAAGAGTGTCAGATGAGGAGGGAGCTGCAGGGGACATGGGAGTTGCAGGAATTATAGGAGCTGTGGGTATGGCAGGAGCTGTAGGTGAGGGAGGAGCTGCAGGTGATGGAGGAGCTGCAGGTGATGGAGGAGCTGCAGGTGAGGCAGGAGCTGCAGGTGAGGGAGGAGCTGCAGGTGAGAGAAGAGCTGCAGGTGAAGCAGAGGAAGCAGGTGAAATAGGAGCTGCAGATGAAGCAAGAGAGTCAGATGAGGAGGGAGCTGCAGGTGATATGGGAGTTGCAGGTGTGATAGGAGCTGTAGGTATAGCAGGAGCTGCAGGCGAGGCAGGAGCTGCAGGCGAGGAACGAGTCTTGGATATGGCAGGAGGAACCGACGACGCGGGAGCCCGGACCCAGCAGTGGAGCCAGGCCCTGCAGCCTGTCCTGGAAAACATGGCCTATGAGGAGCTGAGAAGCTTTTCTGGGATTGAAGAGCCAGCCTGTGGGGAAGACTCCTTCGAGAGCTGGCTGGATCATGCCAACGACATGCTGTACCTGTGGCGCCACATATCTGAGAGGGAGAGGAGGAGGAGGCTGGTGGAGAGCTTGGGTGGGCCCGCCCTGGATCTCATGTGTGGGCTCCTGGAAGAACACCCAGACACTCCTGCACGGGACTGCCTGGCCGCGCTGGTGCAGGTGTTTGGGAACAAGGACACCCGGATGACTGCACGCCAGAAGTTCCTGGCTTGCTCTCAGCGGCCTCAGGAGACTCTCTTTGCCTACGTGATGCGCTTGGAAGGCCTGCTGCAGGTAGCCTTGGAGAAGGGGGCCATCCATCCGGCTATTGCTGACCAGCTGCGAGCCCAGCAGGTGCTGATGAGGGCCCGACCAAACCAGATGCTCCAGAACAACCTGAGGAGGATGCGTCTGGAGAGGAGGCCACCCGGCTTCCTGGGGCTTCTCCGGCTCATTAGGGAGACTGAGGCATGGGAGGCTGCCCTAGCTAGGAATGAGCAGGTGGAAGGTGAAGAGGGAGCTGAAGTTTACCAAGGAGATCTGGCTGCTGCCCAGGATGTGCAGGCCCATGGAGAGGCTACTGAGTCTGGCCCTGCCACCCATGACCGCTCCCACCCCTACGCAGGTAATGAAGATGCCAGTGCAGTTGCTCCTGAGCCTGAGCACCCTGCAGAAGATAATTCGGATTCTGATGATGCCATAGCATCCCCTGCCATTCAGAGAAGAGAAAATGCTCAGGTCCCTGCAGGCCTAGACCAGGCAGAACCCAATGAGGCACCGGGGGCCCCCACCCCAGGTCGGATGGGCAGGGTTTCTGATGCCAGTCCAGGAGGGCCTGGCTGGATGCCAGAGAGTCTGGCCCAGGAGGAAGAGCGGGAGGCCTAGGAGCCCTTGCTGGAGGTGTCAGGAAACGAGGATGGGGCTGGACAGACAGATTGGCCACCCTGAGTTCTCCTCAGGCAAATAGGTTCAGAAGACCTCTCCTCTCAGGCAGCAGAGCCTTGGAGGGAGGGGCAGGCCAGGCCAGGGCCTACCCTCACCCCAGATCAGGAACAGGGCCCAGGGAAGGGCTCACCCAGCCCAAACCAAGCCCCTGGATCCCCCCAGCTCCCCAAAGGGGCCCTGGCCACCACCACCACCAGACTTTTCCAGTGACCTCAATGACCATATTTGCCACCAGATGGAGCCAGGAGGGGTGCCCCTCCTCATGGAAGCCCCAACCCCAAACCCAAACCCTGCCAGTCTAGGGCTGCAGGCCTAGAAGTGGGGGGATGGGCTGAGGTCACCTGCCACCTGCACTGGACTGGGAGACGTCGGGGAAGAGAGTCCATCTCAAGGGTGCCAGCTGCCTGGCTCTCCCAGCAGGCAAAACCCCAACCCGATTCACCGTCCCCGGGACAGGGTGCTCCTGTCCCTGTCCCTGGAAGCCCGCCTTATCTGTAAGCCCCATAGTGACCCACCTCAGGCAAACGCCCACCCCCACGCTAGCCATCGTTCCTGTGCAAAGTTCCTGTGCAAAGCCGTGAGGTGTGTGTCAGCCCCGGGCAGAGGACCGCGCCCTCGCGGCCGGCCACCTCCAGGCCCGGGCACGTGCCGTGAGCTTCCGGGCGAGCCAAGGCTCTGCTCGCTCCTGTCCAGTGTCGTGAGCTCAACCTCTGCTTTCTCGGTGTAGATCTAGGCCAGCTGCCTGCCGCTTGTTCTCGTGGAGATGTGTGTGTGTTCTTCTCTGAGCAGCTCCTCCCAGGAGGCCCTGAGCCCAGTCCCCAGGAGTCGGAGACGGGAGCCGGCGGGAAGGATGGACGGCGAGGGCGTGGTGGACGCTCACCCCCTCGGTGATCAAGACCGCGGCCTCCCCTCGGGCAGGAAGCACTGGACCTTAGATGGAGGGGGAGGGCCAGGGACTGTGCTTTGACGTTCCACCCCCGTTGTTCCTTGTGACTCAATTTCCTTGGCTTGGGGGGGGGGGTGTTCCCTGTTATGCTTTCCAGTGTCCTGTGACCCTTCTGTGCCAGCCACAGGGCAAGGGCCACCCCACAGCAAGTCAGCCCCTCAGGGGGCTCCCGGAATGGAAGTGAGTGTTCATTGCCAGAGGCCATTGTCCTGGCAAGAGGCACATCTGGGTCCTCAGAAAGGGAGGCTGTGGTGGGAGGGCCCCAGCGTGGAGACAGAGGAGCCCCAGGAGGGGGGGCGGGCCGGCCTGTGGCCTCCAGTGGTCGTGAAGAGTCCCTTTAGGTGTTGTCATCCCTTCTCTTCAATGGTTTCTGTAAATGTTTCTCTTCAATAAATCTCATGGATGTTCCAGAGGACTCTCATGCTAAGGGCGACTGGGGTCAGGGAGTGTCCCTCTTCATTATGGTGGTAGTGTAAAGACACTGGACTGGTGCTCTAACCGGGGAGTGGTTTGGGGGTATGGTTCTGATATGATCTGCTAGGGCTGTGGGGTACCCTAACTATCAAAATGTTGTGACCAAGGGTGAGTGGCTTATTAAGTCCACGCAAAGATCCCTAGATGATCTGGCTAGATTGTCAGTATTCAGCATGTTGGTGGGTGACTGTAGTGGTTGCCGGGATCACCGTCCCTTATCCCATGGCTTTATAACAGTTTTAATAGTTTTTTAAGAACTATTTTTCGTTGTTGATGGAACTTTATTATTTATTTTCTTATATATGGTGCTGAGAATTGGATCCAGTGCCTCACACATGCTTGGCAATTTGTTTACCACACATCCACAACCCGAGCCCCCTCATGCCTTTATCAAATAAGTCGGTAAGACAGTGAATCTAGCATAGGGGACACATGGCAGGACTGCAGGTATATATTACAGATTGAATATACATATATATATGTATGTGTGTGTGACTTGGTGAAGAAGCATTCTTCCGGCAGGGCCTGCGGGCTTAGTGGTTCAGAAGGAGGGGCATCCCCAGACCTTCCGACTCCTGTTTGGCTGCCACGATTGAGGCTGGGTGGTACTAGGTACTGGGTTCTAAAGGGCACAGACCAGGTAGCGTTGCTAAACACCCTACAGGGCACAGTACAGCGCCCAAGCCCGCAACGCACAGAGCAGAATTATCCGGCCCAAACGTTAATACCGCTGAGCTTGACGACCCTGCTCTGGTGCGTCGTGGCGTCTTTGGGAACAGAACCTTAGGAGGAGTACAGAGGCCCGCTCAGGCTACCGACTCCCAGACCAGATCAGCGGACGCTGAAGCCGGGCGCCTGCGCGTGGGCGAACGGGCCTCTGGCGCCTGCGCCGCGTGGAGCGTGAAGCCGCAATAAGAGTGTGCCCGCGCATGCGCGCGCCGGGGCACCTCGGCGCTCGCGGTCGGGCAGCATAGGACCATGGCGAGTGCGCCTGCGCACGCCGCCATTTCCTGCAGCCGCCGGCCTGGAGCCGAGGTGGCCGCCGGGAAGCGCGCCCCTGGGCCGAGCGAAATGGCCGCCAGGGCGAGGCGGGCCTCGGCGGGACTGGTCCCGAGGCCGCTCCCTTGCTGGCCGCGAGGTGGCGTGCGAGGATCGCGGATGGGCCTGGTCGTCCGGCTGGGGCTGTGTCCGCCCTTCCCCCACCCCAAGGCACCGCGGGTAGAGGTGGCCTCAGCAGGCTGGTCTTGGGGTGGCCGCGTGTGCACGGCTGGGGGGCGCAGGGGACCGTCGCCTCCGGACACTGGACAGTGGGCTGCGGAGGGCAGGGGGCGGCGGGGCGGGGCGTCCGTCCAGCCACCAGAGCCCTGGGGCGGGGTCACCGGCTTGGGTACGCTGTGCCGCTCAGTGGTTAGCGTTGCCTGCGGGAGATTCAAACCAAGCAAGCCCGTGCCCCGCTGAGAGCTCTCACCCTAGTCTTTCTATGAACCTAGTAAGTTCCACAAAGCAATTTTGTAACTGCTTGAGAGGTTTGTTTTACTCCTCTAAAGACCTCAATTACGTAAACAATGAAATATATCTTGCCTTATTGGTGTGTGTATGTGTGTTGTCGTCAGTGTCACCATCCAAATCAGCTTTTGCATTGGGGTCTATTTGTCCTTGCAGGTGACTCCAACATTTAGGAAAACCATGGAGGAGCCTGTGAACCTGCACCATCCCACACACATATGTCCAGGAGAATAAGTTGAACCTTATAACAGGAGGCATAGCAGAGATTAGAACCACTCCTAAAGATATGGAAGATATAGGTATGGTGGTCATCATCTTCATTCAATTTACTACTCTCTGAGTTGCAGTAATCGGATTTATTTGGAAGAATGTACACTACCCACACTTCACTAGGTACTAATCCCAGGTGGAGATGCTGTTAGACATGGTATGATTTTTCTAGCACATTAATAAGGTCTTATGTACATTGCATACGGCCATTGTATTGAAGAAAATGTTCCTTTCCATTTCAACCAATCAAGCAAAGAAGATAGACATTTCAAAATCATGTGGAGAAAAATTTTTATTTGCACTTTGTCCCAGGTACATGTTAACTCTGCTGTTTTCTGTCATAGTTCAAAAAGATATTGATTATATTGATAACTCATAGATCATCACCCAGATCCAATACACTGATGCTGTGATTGCCAGGATAGATAAGAGGCAGCCAGCTCACTGGAGATCCTCGTAAGGTATACTGGCTCCAGAAGGTGTGAGAAAAACCTTAAGAATATCCAGGGACCTGCCACTTCAGTGAGGTTCTTAAGGGATCAGTAGTCAGACGCATGCCACCATCTGCATCAAAAAAAGTATATGACTTTCTAGATATAGCTTATGGTATGCTTCTGGGTCCTGGTAGAAATAACCATGACCATGGAATACCAAGTGACTGTGTGTATAGAACTTCTCATTATGAGCTAAGTCCTCTCAGCCCTATCAAATCACAGTCAGGAACCATTAGCAATCTATTACAGGAATGAGCTGGTGCATCTGAAATACAAACTGGGTGGGGAAAAGATATGAGTAAGCTGTGTGGGCACTAGCTCAGACCCCCATGTTACCCATCACAGTCACTTCAGTGCCCCTTCCTGAGGTCACAGCTTTGGCCATGTGATCTTATATAGCTACTTGAAGGAAGAGGAAAAGGCCTTAGTTTGGCTTATGGTGGAATTGTCTTGGTATCTGAGTATAATTTAAAATGGATAGCAGCTGCATTTCATTCATACCCACCCTAGGATGCCCCCAAAAGACAGAAAAAGAAGATCTTTCCAGTGGAGCTTTGAGTGGTATGCCTTGTTATTACTTCACGTGAAAAGAGAAGTGGTACAAGATAGGCATATACACAGATTCCTGCATATTGTCCAATGGCCCAGTGAAAGGCCTAGAAAGAAAAGGATAGGCTAATTGGAGATAAGGAGGTGTGATGTAGAGGCAATATGGATGAACATATGAGAGTATATTAATGACCAGCAAAAGCATAAAGATGAACTGAACAGTAAAGCAGAAAATAATGACTCAACAAAGTTGACATTAGCTACTTTTCATTCATCATCCAGTGGAAATGCGCACATGAACAGGGTGGCTATAATATGAGAAATGGAGACTGATGGTGGGCTCAACAACATGGAATCCTCCTCAGAGAGGCCTTTGATGCTGCCACTGGCTCTGAATGTCCAATGTGCAACACAGATCAATGCTGAGACCCCCCGATATGACATCATTTCTCCAGCTTGAGTCTCTTTTCTCTTTCAGGAGGGCCATTCTTCTTTCTTACAAGAATGGAAATATATTCTGAGTATGAATTTTCCTTTCCTTCTGGCAGAGCTTCAGTTAGCTTCACTATTCAGGGGCTGCTAGAGTGTATAGTCTGTAAACATGAAATCTCACAAAAGATAGTATCCTATTAGGGGACACACTTTGTAGTGAAGGAGGTATGTAAGTGGGTCCATGAGCATTACATTATCTGGTGTCACAC